AAATAAATAAATAAATAAATAAAATATTTAAAAATTAATAATCAAAACAAAGATATTTAATATTTCTCCGGCACAGATAACGTGAACTATTTTTATTTTCAGCAAAAGTTTTATCTCCTTTTAAAATCAGAGTTATTAAGTTTAAGCTCTTCACTTTTTCCAGAAAATTCAAGTAATAAAAGAAATTAACTGCTTTAAAAAATGTGCAAGTTTAGAAATTAAACCATCTAACAATCAATGAACATTCATAATAAATATCGTAAAATTAAAAAGTAATATTAAAAAAACCTGTACTACCCTTAATGTCAGAATTTGTTCACTTTTTTTCCTTTGTATTTAAAAAATAACAACTGATTGAATCGAGAGAATTATTTTAAGTAAGAAAGAAATATTCATGCGAATCTTAAAAAAGTTCTTGAATCAGATTAAATAAGTCTCCTACTGGTGGCTGAGTCAGCCAATCTGGTATACTCCCCATACAAGCTATCATCGAAGGCGAAAGAAAAGGGGACCTCTTCATCGTAGCCACCCTCCCTAAAATGCTCTCTTCTTGTTTCCATAGCACCAGACTGCCGCAGACTTTGTGGCGGACAGAGTACCTATCGTAGACAAGCAGTATTACTCCATCGTTTTTTCTTCTTTTTAAGATTATTTCCAAAAAAATTTTTTTTTTTTTTTAGTTGGGTTTAACAATAAAAAAACGGCTTTTTGTAGTGATTCAGAAAACCGGAAAATTCAGTTATCTGGAAAAGAGATGGTCCAGATCGTTCCGGATAATCGGTTCCCTACTGTTTTAATAGTGTTTGACAAGAGCACTAGCAGACATGCTTTGCATATTACCTTTAAATTATAAATCTTTTTATGAACAAGTTTTACTCTGTTCTGTTTTTGTATTGAAGTATTATAGATTAATTGACTTTCAGATTATAAGGTGTTATTTTTGTCAATTTTATTCTTCACATCAAATAGAAAGATATTGTTCACTCAAATAGAAAAATATTGTTTTGTTGATAAACAATTATATTGTCAGTACATAAATGCAATGCACAACGCAATATGTACATTTGAAATTTCAGCATTTAATTTCTTTAAGTTAACATTAATTCTTGAAAATCAATGAAAAAATAATATTTTTTCATAATACCTTTTCATGCTATTTCAGGGGCATTAATGCTATTTTGGCAATAGATCGGGTCTATATTCTAGGGAGTGCTTTATAAATGTTACTCATGAAGGAGTGCTATTATAACTAAAAATGAATTTACCTTAGTTAATTTTAAAAACTAATGTGGAATAATGGAAACTATGGTTCAACGTTATTTTGATTCTTTTACAGCATATGTCCACTCCAGAACAAGCAGTTGAAGCTGTAAAAATGTTAAACAACTATAATCTCATGGGATCCACAATCAGTGTTGAGGTATGATTTCTTTGCATTTTTAAATTAAATAGCTTGTACCTAAATATTTATATTTAAAAACTAAAATTTTTTTGTTATAGCCTTCTAAGAGCAAATTGCATCCTGAACCTGGTGCACCAGGTCGTGCTAACAAACAGACAGTAATGAGGTAATTTTTTGCTTTAACAAAATAATTTGAACACTAAAGTTAATTATAATTAAAATTAATTGCTATAGGCTAATGTAGTTCCATGTCCTAAGCAGCTGTGCTTGCAAATTCAGTCTTGATTTCTTAATTATATTCATTGTATGTGATATAAGTAATATAAATGAATGATGCTGCATCCATTTGCAGCAATATAATTTTCTTATTGCACTTTCAATGTTCAATTTTATTTATTCTTGGTTATTTTTATGTTTATTAATTTGTAATTGCATAGGTTCATATTTTATGTATAGAATTTTGCTTAAGCTATATAAAAATGTTTGATTTTGAAATTTTTAAACTGATTTTCCACTATTACATATGTTTTTAGATTATTTCTAAGATTAAGCTTTCTTAAAATTTAGGAAGTTACATTACAAGCAACTATTTTATAAATTACCGCAGAATAATTTATCTTAAATTTTTTTAGCATTAGTTAAGATATTTATGTACTTCTAGAAAACTTTTTTAATTTCTCAAAAATCTACCAATTACTCAATCTATCAATTACTTAAATTACTCAAAAATCAAAAACTGCCTAATTTGGTTGATCATTTGTGTGCAAGTTCATTTTGAAATATTGATAACATTGGTGTTAATTGTAAAATAAAATTTTTAATGTATGTTTATACCTATACATACGTTACTAGTTTCAACATTGATGTTATAGTAAAGTGATGTCAATTTGAGATATTTATAACTAAAGTTTATTCAATTTGTGTAAAATGCTATTTTTATGTATATTTTAATTGGGACTTCCATATTTCAGCCGCCGAGGAGGGCAGTCAAGAAACGGCTATGGTCCCCCTCGAGGTGGTTTTGGTGGAAATTACAATGGTTATGGAAGACGATTCGATGGCCCACCCATGGGCGATTCATTCTTTGATCGTCCCTTCGGTTACGGGCGTGACAGAATGAGGCCATATCCTTCACCGTATGATCGTCGTAGCCCTCCTTTGCCCATGAGAGATGAATTTTCTCGAAGACCCATGCCACCTATGGATGCTGATCCTTATTCAAGAGCTATGCCACCCATGAGTATGCGAGATGATCTATATGAAAGGCGTGCCATGCCTGAACGCTCAGATTATTTGTATTCTCGAAGATCTCCCCCACCTCTTTCATCAATGAGGTAATTTTTTTTTTTTTGTATGAAAAAATTGTTGTATTTAATTCAAAACAAAATGTCTAAGTCTAATGTAGAAATAAATATTGCATAGATTTGCTTTTTATATCTTTAAATAATAGTTCTATCATTTTTGTGACCATTAATTTAACAGAGGAGAATAAAATTTACAAACTTTAATTGTACAGGGTTGCCACTCCACAGGGAGAACTGAGGAAATACAGGGAATTTAAAAATCACTTAAAATAACAGGGAAAATTCAAGGAATTTTGATTTTTTCTTTACAAACTGGGAAAATACAGGGAATTATGTGTCTTATTTTTATCTTTTAAAAAATGGTGACCACTCAATGCGTAATCTGTGGAATATTTAACCATGATATTTCAGCTATACTTAACTATTTAATTCACTATAGCATTATTTAAGTATGTTCAGCTGTTTTTCCAGAAATTAAAACTGATAAATATAGTTAGCCAGGGGTCTGTCCAGGCCGAATTTGCTACCGTTTAGCGGTACCTTCACAAATTCAATTTTATTTAAAACGGTAGTTTCACAAATTCAACTTTAGGAAAAACGGTAGCTTCACAAAATACTTTTCCTTAAAATTTTGTTTTTGTATCCGTTAAGAAACATTAAATCTATATTTTTACCATGTTTTTGTGTTGATATTTTAATATAATTTTTAATTTTTCACAAATTATGTCTAAATTTTCACAAAATAGGTACCTTTCAGAAAAACCTAGACAGACCCCTGTTAGCCCAATATAGGTCACACAAGAGCGCAGTAATTGTTGTTTCCTCTTAATATATTGTGTATAACATGCACAGGAATTTTTTCCCCAGATTTGAGTGGTAACCCTGTTGTAGTAAAGCTAATTAGAATTTAAATTCCTTGTGAAGGTTTTTTTTATTAAGTTAAGTGATTTAGAAATTGTTCTATTATAGTTTTTTTCTTTATTAATTCAAGCCCATTTTTCCCGCTTAGAAATAAATTATCTTAATCTTTTTTTTCTTCCGTAAATTGATAAGTTAACGTTAATATACTGTATATATTTGCAGGTCTCCTTATTGGTATGATTCACCACAAAATGGGTAAGTCTAATTGTTAATTTTTGTTTTCTTCTTTGAAGGTAAACTGACTTCTTTTGCAGCTGTTTCCTATTTTTAATTTTTCTTGCATTTCCTCTATATCCGTAACTGCATGCATTGCTTTATCAGATTCTGAATTTTTACCTCTATGTTCTTGTTTCTGTTTAGTTTCTATCAAAAGAAAACTTATTAGATTATCTCCAAATGTTTATGCAAACCAGTTGAGTAGCCGGTCTCATTTTAGTCTATATATGTGGGTTTTAATTTTCGCATGCGTCTTCCTTGCATGATATCTGTATTTAAACTAACATCAGCTGCAATTATTAATTCGGATAGTTATAAGTATAAAATTAATCGGTAATTTAAAGCTGATTATTATTTTATTTTTAATGTAATTATTATTCAACAGGGTTCATACACTTAGGGAAAAACTGAGAATTTAAAATAGGCAAAAAATAATTTTAAGAAAAATTGATTAAAATTTATTAAAAACCTTAGAAAAGATAAAAACTATTTTATTAATTACAAGATCTTGATTACTTTTTTATGATTTTAAAAGTAGTGTCATAATTTTCCAATACAACTTTCTTGATAAGTGAGTCTAGGTTGGAAAAAAGCTTTTGTCTAAACTTACTTACTATGAAGTTTGAATAATTTTTTTGGTTGTAATTATTAATTTAAAAAAGATTTTGATTTATTTTTTGAGAAGTTTTTTTCAATGATTTTTGTAGGTACTCAGTATTGGGCATTTTGAAGTGCCTAATATTGAGATTTGTATGTGGTAAATGATGAGATCTTGTTTAAAATTCTTTGAAAGGTTGGAAATTATTTAAACTCAATATTTTGATTTGTAGGCGTGTTAATTCTAAGGTATATCATACTGTATACTACAGATTGTAGTAGGATAATTAGCAGTAGGATAATTGTGCTCCGGAAAAGTGCTGATTTCCAGATTTTTCGCTAACTGCAATCCGGAAATCCAAGGTCCAGAAGTTTCAAGAAATCAACGATCACATTTATGTGTGAAAATTCTTGTATATTTTATTTACAAATACTAGAACTAGATTTAAACTTAGCATCTCTTCATTTGTAAATATTTTTTTCTGGTAGAATAATAAATGTGATTAGAGGTAAAAGTAAACTTATGCATAATTAATCATTTAAATTATGCTGCATATAATTTATTTAGAATTTCATGTTTTGAAATATCAATGATTTAAATTTATAAATATATAAATTTTTCGAAATGCGTTATTAATGATTTTACTCTAGAAATTTTCAGGATTTTTGAGTTGGGCTCACAATCACCCTTGAATTAGTGAATATTTGTAAATTTTTCTTTCTTTAAAGTTTTTTTTTTTTTTTTTTTTCNAAAAAAAAAAAACTCTTTAAATTTTTTTTTTTTTTTTTTGGCTTTTTCTGTTTACCAATCTTCTCATGTTTTCTTTACAGTGATGCTACTTATGTAATGTTTTAGAATTGTTGCCCAAGATAATCAGAGAATTATTTCTAGAAATTAAGTATGAACCCTGTTAAATTGCGTTATTTATGTTGAAATAAGATTAAACTTTGGGAAACTTATCGAATGTTTTTCTTGTTTTTCACAGCAGCAGCCGTGTGCCACCACCTTCAGCTACCCGACGTCTCTCGTATTTTTGAAAAGCCTCCATTCGCGCCCGTTGAAGAGATCGCTCAAATATATCCATCTCTCCGCTTTGTCGACCGACCGCATTGAATCTTCCCGTTTAATTTGAGCGTATTAGAGGCCGCTGCTAAGTAGAGACAGTGATTTTTTACGTTCTTTCCTGTTATTGTGAACTGTTTTTAATTATCATTTGACTCATCGTTTCATGTGTACAGATAAATTGTTCCGATTTTTTTTTTTTTAATTCTGCGTCTCATTTCTTTTTTTGTAGTGTATCAGTTTATTATTGTGATGTAATATACTTATATATATATGAAAACTATGCTAGGGCATGTAATACACTAACGTAAGTGGTGGCTTCCGTTGTTTCGAACGTATTCTATGCCGAATAAAAACTTTTTTGATTGTATATAGTGTGCGATGTTTTATTTTTTAATTCGTCTCAATCGTTATGTATGTAACATTAGTTCACGCAAATCATACACATTCATTTTTTCTTAAAAACTAAATCTAAATTTCTTGACATGTTTGGCTGACATTATTAAGGTTATGCAACTGCTATTTTAATTTAACACATAAAGAAATTTTATTAAATTTTTTTTATTAATATGTTTGAATCAAATATGAATGAGGACTCAGTGATTTGATTGTGCATAGAATATCTCACAAACTTTGCATTTTGCTTCTACTGACCTATTTAATCTAAATATTAATTTTAATATAATTTATTTTAATACAGAATCACATTATTATGACTTTCCTTTTTATCTAAGAAAAATTAAATTTCAACAATTGCTGCTGTTTGCTGACATTTAGTTTTCAATGGAAAAATGTATCAGACCCAATAGTTAGTGTTTCAATCCATTGAAAAAACTGTATTAATAAAAATATGTTATTACATGTTTTTTTTGTTTGATGGAATTTTTTTTTTTTACTAAGAATTTTTTTTGATTTCGTTTGAAAGTTTAATTTTTTGACTCAAGTCATAGGACTATTAAAATTGCTTCTGTCCAGGATGAATAGGTATGGTTTGAGGTTACAAAAACTTATGAGAACGTAAGTTGAACACAATTGCAATGGAATGTCTATCTAATAAAAACTGTAAAAAGTAAACTTGATTTTTTTTTGTCTTTTTGTAAAAGTAAAGTATTTTGTATTATTACTGCCTTAGAAATAATGTAAGCTAAATATTTTGATCAGATCTAAACTAAGTTATTCAGAAGGTGATTAATTTTGTAGGTCAACATTTAAATTTAGGTTTCGGTTGTAAAACTTTTCCCAGATTTAAGTTATGGAAGTGTTGATCAAAGAAATATAAATTCTTTTGACACTACAAGGGTATTTAGAATGTTTTAAATTGTAATTTATCTATTTATGCAATCTCAATGAGTTCTTGAAATTCCGATTTTTAAGACAATGTATAAAAGCCATTACTTAAATGATTTAATTGAAGTCCTATTTTGCATTTTAAGGTTTTAATCTTATGTTTATAGCTGGTTACAATAAGCTGATTGAAATGACAGAATTTCCACTTATTAATTGTAAGCAAAGAGTTATAAATTAAAAAAAAATTTAAGAACTTTATGGTGTCTCTTGCAACTGGTTCATTGTCTTACTGGGGCACTGGATCACATTATGTAAGTAATATCCAAATAAGACTATATGATTTGAGTGTGATGGCAAACTAAATAAAGTTTACACGGAACTTTTTAGGGAGTGCTTAATTGTTTTCTCAGTCTGTTTTAAGGAAAGAGAAATATTGTAATTTTTAGGGATACATTTAATTGTTTGAATGTGGGAATTTTTATGTTAGTATTTTACCTATTATTTCGTACCATGTTTACAAAAAATCTGGTATTTTTAATTTCTGAGAATGGATATAAATTATCCTTATCTCATCTGCATTTATATACTAAGTTCTCACAGTTACAATTCTCTAGTATTGGAAAGTTCAAGTTAACAAATGCATAGCATATAGCTGTAAGCTTAAACATCAGAACTATATTAAGTGAACTAAGTAGATGGTAGCAATTTTTACCTATATTACATTCTTTAAAGTTAGCATACCTGGAATGGGCTATGTCCAGATCAGCAACTGTGTAAGTCACCCAATGTTTGTGAAAGGGATACATTGGTTTCTTTATCATGTTTTTATTTTGTGTATTCTAAGGTTACGTATAATATAAGATCAAAGTAATGTGACCCACCTACAGAGAAAGAAAGGAAAAATGTCACTTTTGAAAATAGCCGCCTTGCAGACCACTGTTGCAGGTGCTTAAGCACCTATACTTTAGATTTTCTTATTTTCCGAAAAGAGTATATTTAATGCAAGACGTAATGCTTAAAAACATAGCTTTAATGAGCAGAGAACTAAAATTGCCAAAGATATAGTAAGAGAAATTTTATAAGAAAAAGTTCAGGAGAAAGAAATGGGTTCTTATTCTTAGTAAATACAGGGTATCCGCGCAACTGGAAAGTCTTGGAAAGTCATGAATTTCAGTATTGAACTAAATTTGTCATGAAATGTCATGATTTTTACTATGTTTTTGAAAAAGTCATGGATTTAGGTCTCCGAAAAATGTAATTTTTTTTAAATGGAATCCCCCCCAAATTTCATCCTGATCTGAATTCCTAACAAAATCACCACTCAGTCATATTTTATTAGAAAATAAAATGATTTTATCATGTTCTTTAAAAATTATGGTGTTCTTTCAAAAAATGAAAAAAAAAAAACATTTCTAGAGTGAATCTTTTGAACTCTTTTCTGTGATTTAAGAATTTTTATTGTTAATTTTTTTTAATTTTATCAATTTAAAATTCTAGTTGAAGCAAACCAGTCAGTGGCGAATTTTTTTTTATTCCGAAATGAGAACAGAAAAATCAGGAGTATTTCTTTTCTTTCTGATGAACAAGAAAAGTATCTTTGGAATATAATTTTGCAGGAAAAAAAATTATTTGCTTTTGTATTTTTTCTGCTATTTTATTGTTTCAACTCTTTCTTTACTCTGTTTTTTAAATTTAAAATCTATAAATATGATGATGCAGAGTATAAGTTTTGATTATACCTATCATTTCGAATAATGTTGTTATAATGCTTTTTTAAAATTGTTGCATTTTTGTTGGAGACGATAGTAACTTCGTTAAGTCATGAAAAATTCTTGGATGAAAAGTCATGAATTTGGAAATCTAAAATGTAGCAGATACCCTGTGAATATCTATCTGCTATTTTGATTTAAAACGGAAATTCTCACTTTTTTTTTCATATGAATCTATTTACTGGAAGTTACTCTGCGGAAAAAAGAAAAAAATGTAAATGGAAAAAATGGTCTTCTCAGAATTGTTCTTTATTTTCTGCATACATATATATTATTTGCTTTTATAATAAGAAAAAAAAGGTTGTGAAGCTACGATAGCATAGTGAAAAAAAAATGTATGGGAAACAAAAAGAAAATCTGTTTTTAATTTTCTTATTGCCAATTGTAACTGAATACAATATTTTCTTATATTTTTCATGAAAAAGAAAGAAAAAAAAAGCCTATACAATACTAAAAATTAATACTGTAAGGACTATATTATTAACTAACAATAGTCAGGGACAAAATATTGATGGGGGAAAAAGTGATTAGTCTTAAAATATTGAATATAATCAACTAACACAATTATAACTAATCAATAACTGAAAAACCAGGAAGGGAAAAAAAAATAACGTTAGTAATAAATTAAGAATTTTATATTTAACTCTTGCTTTGTTTACAATCTCACATTCTCTAATGAATTTTAAAGAGAAAGTAAGACGCTATACAGTAACTCCATGAAAAACTGTCAGACTTGCACATGCAATAGATAACGAAGGAAAAGATGTATTTTTATATGTAAAAAAATAAAATATTGAAGATAAATAAAAGACTAGCTTTAAAAAAATTAAATTAATCTAAACTACCTGTTTCAATGAGCATGGGGGGAGGGGGTTAAAATAGTTGTCTACTAGGAAAATATAAAATGTATATGAAGAATAGTTTTAAATCCATATAAATTAATAAGGCATGTCTCTTATTAAACTGAAGCTGAATTGAGAAATAAATAAAATAGTCACTCCCTTTCTTTCTGGGATTCATTTTCCTTTCTGTTTCTTTATGGATGCAAATATTTCACTTGCAACCTGACCTAGTAGCTGGTTTGAGATAATTGCTCGTTGCCAAGTTTGAACTTGCGCTATCTTGATTTAAGGATACTAGTTGGTCGCATAAAATAATTATTTAGGATTAGTGAGACATTTTAGTTTCATATCACAGTCATAGTACAAATAATAGAATACACTGATGTTTATAAACTGATAATAAAATACACCTCCAATTTGAGGCAGTGAAATTTAGGCATTGTACTCAAATTTTGCTATTTTTCAAAATTTTTTTTTTCGTTCTATAAAATTATAGATGTTATTTTTCCTAATTTCTAATTAAAAAGCTCCACATGATTGTGCAGTAATTCTTTTTCACTATAATAGCTCCCATAATATTGCAAAATATGCAAAGAGCGAAATTAACATTAAAGGAATTCAACTTTTGATTGCTCTCCTGACTATACTATTAAGACCATATCTTCAAGATAGTGACCATTCTCATATTTTAATTGTCAAAAAAAAATCTGCCTGTTGAATAAAAAGGTAAGTTTATAAGAAAGAATGTTAAGTCTTGTTTCATAGTTTATTACATGCTAAGCCTTCATTGATTGACAATGAGCGTATTATAGGTCAAACCTTTGAACCATAAGTTTTGTGTTTAATAAGTAATTGCGAGAATAAAAATTATTTAGGATATATTAGTTCACTGTACAGTGCTATGCTATTTTGGAGAGATTTTTTTTTTTCAAACTGAGTTCAATGTTAGTCCGAACTGCTCTAGATTTCCTGGGTATGTTTTGATGATTATTACTTTTTAAATGTTTATCAGTTGTTTGTGAGATAAGAGAACATTGAAACTCCTGTGAAATAAGGTTTTCCCGATTTCAAAAGTTGAAGTGATTTCTTATCAACTTGCTTATCGCGCAAAGAGTAAAAGGTGTCATCTCAGTTTAATTTGAATTATTGGGATTATCTATAAGCTATTTTTCTGTTAATCTATACCCTTTAAAACGTAATGATTGGTAAATAAAATTGTATCCTTTTAACAATTTTACAGATAGTAGAAAAAATAATTAATTTGTAAAAATTCATGCGGCAGCACACCTGTATCCAATACATGTAAGGGATGGAGGGTCTTGGACTGGACAAGAGGGATATTCTAAATAAATCCACTTTTGGTGGCGGACTTCCTTTGAGTCATGAATTTCATGGACATTGTTTAGCCCAGCTAATCTTGGTGATAAGGAAGAAGTGGAAGGGATGATATATATCATACAAAATTTGAGGTA